TTCTTTTCACGAATGCAGGTTGCTTCAAACAGGGAAGTTAACATTTTTGCAGTCAAGCAGTGAACTCACCGTAGACAGTGTTGGCCTATCTTCTGAAAGTTATTGCGTGCATCGCAATGCAACATGGATGCATCCCAGAATCTTCCCATGAGAGGATGGATTAGAGATCATTGGCTCTATTAATGCCAAAACGTTGTCCGATCCATCCCACAATCTCCAGGCCTAGCAAGTATTTTCACTAGGCTAGGTACAAAACTGAGGCGTAATATATTACGTAGAGCAATATGAATCAGCTAACTAGAATTTGCTTACATGTTCAGTTCTAAGATGCTTAGAGAATGCTCATCATCATAGAAGTCTATGTTTCTTCTTCCATAAACAATCTCCAAAACAAATATCCTATAGCTAAGCACATTGGATTTTAGAGATAGTAAAAGACAAAAAAAATTATAAATACAGTACAACACATGAAAACTAAAATTGAAAATTAAAAATCATAAGGCTTTGCTTTTTTAAATCAAAATAATATTCTATCTATTCATTTTTAATAGATTTATTTTGAATTTTTAATTTTTTAAAATTTAAAAATCTTAAAATAAAAATAAATTTTTTTATAAATTAATTATTTAATATCATTTATTTATTTATTTATTTTATTTTTTATGAAATTTGTTTGTCAATTAAATCTCTAAAAAATTATGAGAAAAAATCTTAATATTACATCATTTTAATAGATTTTCATTAAAAATTAAAATAACTTATTTTTAAATAAAAAATTTAGTTTTAAGTGTAATAAAGGTAAATATATAAATTCTTCATAAATTGATAATTAAAAAATTACAATTATTTTTAAACAATGAGAGTAACTTATTTATAGCATTTATTTTTATGTTTAAATATAAGAAAAGTATTTTTTTGCGTAAGCACCATAATTGAAAAATTAGAGGAAGGGTTCATATCATCACTAACATGAATAAAATTAACACATAAATATTGTTTTAATGAAAAATTAGTGTTACATAATATTATCACACGGTTAAATTTTAAGTTATTTATCTAATTTAAAAGGATTATGAGCGAAATTTGTTTCTTTTTATTATACAATTTGTCTCTTTTTTTATTAGATAAAATCTATCTTTATCGAACAAACTAAGTAGTGGATTTGAATATTTAGTTTAATGGGTTAGCAATATTCATATTTGTTAATGTAATAACACATCATCGTATATGATCTTTATTTATACGAGTAATTAGAAAATTAATTTATTATAATTTATTAATTATTTTAATTATATAAAGTGAAAGCTACACTGATTTGATACTATGGATAAAAATATCACTTATTACACAGTATCCTATATCTCATTATATGAAAGAATTTATCTCTTTTTTTCTTTTTGAGTTTCAAATAAAAAAAAATATTATATAATTTGAATTGTATCAAATTATATAATATTAAGTATTTAATGAGAGTAAATCCCCAATATTGAGGTTT